ACGTGTGTATCTTACATTTATAAACAAAGCAAGAAGTACAAATTAAAAAATAGAGTAGTTCAAAGGTTATTAAAATGCATTTTCCCCAATTTTTAAAAAAGAAACCAAGAAGATTAACTTTAAATTTTAATATTTTAATGTTTACAAATAAAATATTCAGTTTGATGACTATAAAAACGTACTTTCCCTATTTCTAAAAAATAGAAGTTTAATTAAAACTAACGGCGCGGTTCAATGTTTATTACAAAAACAAAAAAACTTCAAATTAAAAATAACAGAGCGGTCCTATGTTTATTAAAAAAATGATGTTTCCCGGTTCTAAAACCACTAGAAGTTCAATTTTCAATAATGAAGTGGTTAGATATTTGTTAGAAAATTAGGATTTCTTCATTCCTAAAACAAATCAAACGAAGAAGTTCAAATATACATAACGAAGAGGTCCAATGTCTATTACTAAAGTAGGGTTTTCCCATTACTAAAAAGAAGTAAAACCAAGAAGTTCAAATTAACAAAATAGAGTGTTTCCATGTTTATATAACAAAGAAGAAAATGAAGCGTCACCTAGAAAAATGTTAACTCTTGAAGTTCAAATTTAATAAATTGAAAGATTCAAATAAAATGTTATGGATGTAAAAAATCTCCCAAGGATTTTTGTATTATTGAAATAGGATAACAAAAATATTCAAATAAAAAACAGGAAAGAAGCTCAAACTATGTAACAAAAAAATATTATCCATGTTTAAAAAAACCCAACAAGGTCAAATTAAAATAACGGAGCACTTCAAAAAAAGTTTATAAGAACATTAGAACTTCTTTCAATTGGAATATATTTGGTTTAATAAAAATGTCCACCTACTATATCCAAATAAATTGTTTGAAAGTTTTGTATATACCGTTCAAAACAAATTTATTACATAACTAGTACTTTTCCCGTTACTAATGAATAACACCATCCTAATTAAAAAAATGAAGGTGTATAATATTTATAAAAATCTCAGATTTTCCCAGATACTAAAGATTAAAACCAAGAAGTTCAATTTAAAAAGCAGAGCCGTTTGATATTTATTTGAAAACTCGGTTTCTTCGGTTACTAAAGAATAAGACCAATAAGATCGATTCAAAATAATGAAGAAATTTAATGCTTCTAACAAAACTCCAATTTTCACAATCCTAAAAAGCACACAAAGAAGTCAAAACAAGTTAGAGCGGTTCGATGTCTATAAAAAACTCAGATTTTTTCGTTACTAAAGTGAAATATGGAGAAGTTTAAATTGACAACAAATGGAAGTTCATGTACTCCATGGTGTGCCTTTTGTATGAGAAAAAAAGAGTAAAAAGGCGAAGTCCAAAATTCTTCTTGCTAGAAGTTCAAGTGCACAGACCGGGAAATTCAAAAGGTTCCTCTTGTTCAACAAGTTTCCACAACGGAGGCTCAAATTAAAATAATAAAAAATAGTTTATAAAAATTAATTAGAAAAAGAATGTGGAGGGGGTCCAATATTTATGAGAAAACTAGGATATTTTGATGCTAAAAGAAATAAACCAAGAAGTCCAAATTATAAAAAAAGAGAAGTTCAATATTTATAAAAAACACAGGTTTTCTTCGTTAGTAAAGAATAAAATTAAAGAAGTTCAAATTAAAATAAGAGTAGTTTGATGTTTATGGAAAACTCAAATTCTTTCCATTTTTAGGAAAAATAAAAGTATGAGGTTCAATTTAAAAAAATGTTTGATGCTTATTTGAAAACATATTTTTTTTCTAAGAATAAGCCTAAGAAGTTCAATCTGAAATAACAGAGAAGTTCGAAGTATATAAAAAAATCGGATTTGTTGCAAGCCGTTCGACCTCCAATTACATGTTTTAAAATGGCAAAAAAAATGACGTTCAACCTTCAATTGTGTGTAATTCGACGTATACACAAAAATGTGACAGAAGTTCAAGGTGAAAACAGCGGGAAGTTCAACTAGTATAGGAAATGCGTTTTAGATAGGAATATAAGAATAGAAAATAAAAAGCTGAGAAAGCTTATTGCAAGAAGTTCACGTGCTCCTCCTAGTGAAGTTCAAGATCTCTAGTGCGAGACGTCCAACCTTCAATTACATGTAAAAAAACAGGCAAAAAACGACGTTGTTTTTTCCATTTTTAAAACTACTCTCAAACAACAAAAAATTGTAACGTTTGTCTATATGAAAAAGATGCTCCTATTCATAAGCTTTCCAACGGTATATTATATGTTACATTCTGATGCACAGTTTAAAAGTTTCATGTATACCAATTAAAACACATTTTTGTGTAATGAAAAAATTGTTTTGAACTGTCACAAGTATGAAAAAATGATAAACGCGGGAAAGTTGCGTGTTTTCAACAACTTTTCACTGATATATCATTTGCTCAATTCTGGTAAGTGGTTGGGGAGTTACGGGTAAAAAATAACACGTGAAAAATAGAGTGAAGTTCAAAAAGAACTGATCCAGAAGTTCAATCTCTTCATGAAGTGCTTTTTCGGAGACTCTGTTATTTTGATGAAGGCAGAATGCGTGATCTCAGAAGTTCAGATCGATAACAGCCAGAAGTTCACGTAGTACACGGTGTGCATTTTGTATTAAAAAAAGAATGAAAATGCAAAGCCTAAAGTTTTCTTGCTAGAAGTTCAAGTGCTCGGCCGGAGAAAGTTCAAAAATTCTTGTGATAGAGGTGAAAACAACACAAAAGTTCAACTACTGCAAACGAAAATACGTCGCAGAAGTTCAACGTGAAAACAGCAGGAAGTTCACCTACTACACTGAATGAATTTCAGATGAAAAACTTTCAAAATCGTCGCGATTATGAAAAAATGATCAACACGGGAAAGTTGCGTGTTTACAGCAGCTTTCCATCGGTATATCACCCGCTCAATTCCCGTGAGTGGGATGGAGAGCTACGAGCAGTGGATGAAGATCTACGAGCAAAAAAATCACGTGAAAAACAGAGTGAAGTTCAGGTACACGCACCGAGAAGTTCAGGTTCTTCATGCGGTGCATTTTCAAAGAATCTGTTTCGTGATAGAGGCAGAACGAATGATCCCGCCGTTGTCGGAATTACTTGAAAACGGCTAGGAATCAGAGAAAACCATCAACATGAAAAAGTTTCGCATTTTCCGTAGCTTTTCAACGGTATATTATTTGCCCAATTCCGACAAAGTTTGTAGAAATTATGGCGAAAATATGTTTTTCGCCATATTCGAAACTGACTTAAAACCGTAAAGAACTGGGAGAAACAATACATACCAAAAAGTTTCGCATTTGTTCAAGCTTTTCAACGCCATATCATTTGCTGCATTCGGACGCACGGTTAAAAATTAGCTCGAAAATACGAACTCGGTAGGACTTGGACCATTTTCTAAATTACTCTTAAACCATTCAAAATTAGAAAAAACTTTCAAGATGAAAAAGTAGCGCATTTTCATAAGCTTTCCAACACCATATCGTATGCCTCCATTGGATTAGCCGTTTAGAAATGACATCGAAAAAACGAACTCAGTTGTTCGGTTTATGAAATTTTACGTTTTTTCAAATTACTCTTTAACCATAGGGAATTAGAAAAAACTTTCAGCATATGGAAGGAGCGGTTTTGCAGCAGCTTTCGAACGCCATATTATATGCCTCATTCCGATAAACAGTTTAGAAATGCGATCGAAAATACGATTCACGTTTTTTATGCGAAGAAAAAACAGTTTTCAAAACTGCTCTTAAACCGCTTATATTTTGCCAAATATTTAAGTTGAGTCATGATATTGGTGTACATAGCTTTCCAACGGTATATCGCAAGCCCCGTTTGGGCAATGTTGGCGGAAGTTCAACCGAGTTCACAGGGAAGTTCAACGTACTACTAGCGGGGCAGGTCAGGTTGTGATCAGAATATTATTCTGATCCCGTGATCAGAATAGTGTTTATATATATATATATATATAGTACAAAACTAATATATTCATATTGATCTCCTTCTTTAAAGATGGAAGAGATGCGGGAGAAGCTCTGACCAGAGAACCACATAGTTATAATTCAAGAGGAAATTACTGGATTTTTGCTTACGAAGTCATATCTAAAAGGGGAGAATACCAATATATGGTCGTACGAGAAATTATATTATATATGCATGATCGTACGAGAAATAATATTATATGCATAACATGTACAGTATATAGTAGCGTAAAATATGTTTGAAATGAAAAAGAATTGAATGAAAAACACAAAATGGAAAGAAAAAATAAACCATAAAACTTAAAACCCTAAACCCCAACACAAAATCCTTAGTCCCGGTTGATGTCACAACCGGAACTAAAGGTCGTCCAACCCCCAGCGCTAGCTCACAGCCACGTCGAGGGACCTTCCTGGTTGGTATTGCCAATCGGGACTAAAGGTCCTTCAGCCCCCGGCGCGCGCTCACGTCAACTTGGAGGGACTTTAGTCCCGGGTTGTGGCCAACCGGGACTAAAGGGTGGGGGTTGACTTTGTTGTCTCGGTTAGTGACCCGGGACTAAAGGTCGTTGCCAACCAAGACTAAAGTCCCGTTTTCCACTAGTGGTGCATGCCCAGTATTTGTTTCCAAATAAATAAACATATGTAATCAAATTCACGATAATACATTTAGTCAAAGTGTCAAACATTTATAATTTAACAAATTAGTATATTCAATATAGGATTAAAACATGCATGGTGTACACTCCTAGGAAGTTTACAATGCAAATGTAGCTAGGTATACACCGATATGTGGTGCATGTACAAGCCGATACACATACACACAACACTAGCACAAGAGAGGCAAGCCAAACGAGCCAACCAATATAGATGTTGGTATATATCGACCGATCTTCTGATGTGGTGCATGCAAACTCTCTAAAAATAAAGTGCGCTGCAAACCAATATAGATGTTGGTATATATCGACGGATCTTCTGATGGATGACTAATTAATGCCCACACACATATATATGTTGTTTTGGATCATCTGATTATCAATACTTCAACATGCCCCATCTGTACCCATGCTCATCGACCAGATCTTGTCGGTGGGTGTTGCACCACCGTTGCCCTCATGTGACACCATGGATGAAAGCCTACTTCCAGCGTTCTTATGGAAGATCCTGCAAACCACATACTCCTGCCAACATACATAAACTGAATCAGTGCAAATAAATTATGGTCAATAGCTAGGTATGTACTTGTGTATGGACGGATGACCATGTTCATGGTTTGACTACGTACTACCATACTCTAGGTTTAAATACCTTGGAAGACATGTTAATAGAAGCAGCATTTCCTATGGCACTGGGCAGGCCGGTTGTTGACTGCTTGATCTCGAGCCTGTACTCGTGCATGACCCAGTTGGTCTTCTCCCCGCTGGGAGCTCTGCCCTTGTAGAACACCAATGTCTTCTTCATGCCGATGAGCATGGACGTGCAATGTGGATTGACGATCTCCTTGTCCTTACCCGTGGTCTTCCAGTAGCCAGCCTTTGTGGCTCGGTTGGTTCGTATTCCGGTGGGGTACTTGCGGTCCTTCTGGCAGTAAAAGTACCACTCGTTCTCCCCCATCTTGGCCTTCTTGGGAAGTTCCCATGGCTCGTTCTTGTTCAGGTCCACCTCACCGATCGCTGTGGCGTCGAATGCTGGGTTGAGAATCTTAGGGGCAAGGTAGGAGGTGATGATCTCCTCATCAGTAGGGTGGAACCTGAACCCCATTGGAAGCTCCAACTGTTGTTGTTGCTGCTGAACTTGAAGGTGGTCTGCCATGGCAGAGGCTCTATAGGATCACTGTATGAACTATGGAACGAATTTAATGAGCTAGATATATGAGGGGAGGTCCTTAAATAGGAGTGAATGCGTGTACTGGCAAGGCGCTTGCCAAAGAAGCATCGACATTTTTATGCCTTTGTTTAATTGTGTTCCTACTGGCAATGGATGGATAGAGATAGCTTCCTCGTCTTTACAACTGTGCTTCACTTGTCCTATTTTCAGGGCTACACCCTGGTAGTGACAGGTGACGGGTCTCTCGAGCCTTTCTAGGCCATGGTCATGCCAGATTGCACAATTGGTTTTGTTTTCATTCTTGTTAGCGTATGAATATGCGGTCCTCTACCCACCTGCTCGTCCGATCTACATGTTCTGTTGCTGTTGCCGCCTAGCTTTGTTAGGTAAAGCAAATAGACACCCACATTTGTATGTATCTATTAGCTGCGTGTGCATATGTAGCCCTGCTATTGTTCTAATTTATATGGCGTTTAATCGGGATGTATCATGTGTCAACTATATGTACTATACATTTCACCGTTATGTATTTACCACATACTATATTTTTGAGAAGAAAAAAATTACCACATACTGAAGCTCCTGCATGTTTACGCAAAACGACGTATGTTTTCATAGTCCCCGGTCACTGAATGGATGGTACAATTTTCCATAGTTAGCCTAATCTAACAATACATGGGAAGATAATTCACCATGTCGGGCGTGAGGTGGTGAATGTGGGTGTCAGCTACATCCAGGGGCACGTTACTCCTGCATTATGCACACATGCACCACAAGCGCGGCCATGCAACAAGATGATTAATCTCTATCTCCCAAAAAACGATGGCGCCGCGAACCAACCTGTTGTTGGATGGTTAGAGGGGCTGTGGTATCCCCAGCCCACCAGGGTTCAAATCCTGGTGCTCGCATTTATTCCTGGATTTATTTCAACATTTCCGGCGATGCGCATTCAGGGGGAGGAGACGTTTCCATCGACGACGAGGTGCCTACGGTGACTTTGTAAATTTCAAGATGATATGCCGGCTCAGTCTTTCGGAGGTGCTCATAGGGGTAGGGTATGTATGTGTGCGTTCATAGGGATGAGTGTATGCGCGTGTATATAAGCGCTCAGTCTTTCGGAGGTGCTCATAAGGGTAGGGTGTGTATGTGTGCGTTCATAGGGATGAGTGTATGCGCGTGTATATGAGCGCTTGTGTCTGTACTGATGTTCAAAAAAAAACGATGGCGCCATTGGAACGGTTACCAGCGGGAGAGGGGACACGTGTCCAGCCGCTGCTAATCCCCGAATGCATGCACGCGACTGGTAAGCATCACGCTCTTCATATCCCATATAAATGCATTATATGTGTACCAACGCACGCCACTAACATCTTTCTGGAGATAAACCTTCTGTTGCTCACTTTTATTTGCTTTCCAGGTCATCTTGTCTACCGGTTCCCGCAAAAACAAAAAACACCTTGTCTACCGGCGTACGTTCGTATGCGTGCCACACACATCACCAGCCTGTTCACTTTTCATAGAAAACCTTGCACGAGATGTATGGATCTATGTATTTATCAACCCAATGCTCTGGCCATATCCCAGCTTTCCATGCATCTCCTCCCGTTTCTACAAATTGCTGGCCTATTGCGTCAAATGGCGCATGAGGCCGAAATTGGCGTAAAGTGCACATTTAGTAAGAGAAAATTGCTGGTAAATATTTCTTATTGGCATAGAATGTTAGTCGTGGACGGGCTCTTGTGGAGCGCAGTGGCATGTTCGGGTCGGCGCATATTTCATTCTTATGGGCCGGGTGACATTTAACCATATTGGTTCATTTCACAGGATCTGACATGTGTGTCTCATGCTTTTCTTATTCTTTAATTAAAAATCCGCAGGGCACCCCCGCACTTCTCTATTTTCTTCAATAATGTCAGTCATGTCACTACCAGAAAAACTGGGGTTGCCGACGGCCAAATCTATGCCGACGGCCCCCGTCGGCATCTATGGACCTATGCCGACGGCCAAGGATAGGCCGTAGGCGTAGAATAGCCGTCGACATACATCCATCTATGCCGACGGGGCCGTCGGCATAGACGAGGCCGTCGGGACCGCCCGAGATACGCCTACGGGGCCCGTCGGCATAGGACAGGCTGTCGGCATATCCCGGGCCCCCCTGCCCGGTCAGCGCTGACCATTTGAGGGCGTTGACCCTACGCCGACGGGCGGTAACGGCGGCTGTCGGCATATATGTGGCAGAGGTATGCCTACGGCATGGCCGTCAGCATAGGCCCATCTGCCACGTCATCGATTCGTGTGTCGCGCCACGTCATCGATCCGTGGGACAACCTCCGTGTGTGCACAGATATGCCGACGGCCTTGCCGTCGGCATACGTGTATTTTACTTATTTTTTTAATTTTTACTTTGTTTTGTTATTTTTACTTTATTTTAGTTTTTGTTTTTGCATAAGATAATTATGCCTTATCTAAAAAAACATACCCGATGGTATATCGATTGCCCCCCGTTACGAACGTCGCTATCGCCGTGTCACGGAGGGAAACGGTCGACACAGAAGGAATTCTGGTTGGTGGGGGGATTCGGGGTGTAGCTATGTCATCGAAACATCGCACGGGTCCCGATGCATATGTGAAAGTGTTCATGCATGCGTAGACGCCCGTCTTGGGGCTCCGGGGTGTGCCCCCCCCTCACGGACGGCGCTGCCGCCGGCACCTGGAGGGGGAAACGGACGTGTCGGGTCTACACGGAGGGGATCTTGCCGTGGGTCTGGCCCGGATGTTGCTCCAAAGTGTTCCTATGGGTTGACCTAACACAACCGGGTGGGGAGGTCCACTGGTCAAAGCCCGTCCGTGCAAAGTCAAAGGGCTAGATCCCGTGATCAAACGCTACAGGGTTAGGCGGGACGGGGGCACTGTGGGTAGCAATGCCACCGGAGCGTCGCACCGGCCCCTCATACATGCGGGGTGGTGTGGTGGCATGTCCGAAGAGGCGGGACGTGTCTCCGGGGCATGCCCCCCCCTCACGGACAGCGATGACACGGTAGTAGACGTTTTGCGGTAACGATGCGTCGTCAATATTACTAAATACTCGGAGCGCGATAAAATCATGAGTTTTTTGCACGATGTGGGCACATGTGCTATAGGAACGATGGTATTTTTTCATAATTTTTGGTGATGGAGAAGTATCCGAAAAATTCCCTCTACGCAGATAGCCCTTCGCGCGTCTACGGCTGTGGACGGCGGCCTCCGGGGGCTAGCATGCCGCCAAATCTTGCATAGGCGGCCTCTCACAAGTCTGGAAGTGTTGTGGCGGTTGCAAACGCCCGGCACGCGTGTCCGGGGTGTGCCCCCCCTCACAGACGGCGCCGCTGCCGGCACCTGGAGGGGGGAAACGGACGCGTCGGGTCTACATGGAGGGGATCTTGCTGTGGGTCTGGCACGGATGTTGCTCCAAAGTGTTTCTATGGGCTGACCTAACACAACCGGGTGGGGAGGTCCACTGGTCAAAGCCCGTCCATGCAAAGTCAAAGGGCTAGATCCCGTGGTCAAACGCTACAGGGTTAGGCGGGACGGGGGCACTGGGGGGGGGGTAGCAATGCCACCGGAGCGTCGCACCGGGCCCTCATACATGCGGGGTGGTGTGGTGGCATGTCCGAAGAGGCGGGACGCGTCTCCGGGGCGTGCCCCCCCCCCCTCACGGACAGCGATGACACGGTAGTAGACGTTCTGCGGTAACGATGCGGCGTCAATATTACTAAATACTCGGAGCGCGATAAAATCATGAGTTTTTTTGCACGACGTGGGCACATGTGCTATAGGAACGATGGTATTTTTTCATAATTTTTGGTGATGGAGAAGTATTCGAAAAATTCCCTCTACGCGGATTGCCCTTCGCGCGTCTACGGCTGTGGCCGGCGGCCTTCGGGGGCTAGCATGCCGCCAAATCTTGCGTAGGCGGCCTCTCACAAGTCTGGAAGTGTTGTGACATGTAAAAAGTATGATGTGAATGGGTATCGCTTCCATACAGAGGAGCTCCAAAACGGCCGCCCCGATCCCAAAACTATAAATACTGGAGTGTACACCCCCGGTCAAAATTCAGTAGACTACTATGGAAGGGTACAAAATATATACGAGGTTAAATTCCGCCAGGGGCGTGAGACCCTAAGTATGCCTGTGTTCAAATGCCGATGGTTCGATCCGCGGGAGGGGGTAAAACATACGCCTTCCATTGGTTTGGTCGAAGTTAAACCATCAACCGTCTATGCCGGAGCCGATCTCTTCATTGCAGCTACCCAAGCTACACAAGTATATTATGTGCCTTACCCATGCCAGAAAGTGTATCTAAAAGGTTGGGAAGTTGTGTTCAAGGTGTCTCCACATGGTAAGTTACCAGACCCGAATGAAGACGATTACTACAACATTAACCCCATGACATACGAGGGAGTGTTCTATCAAGAGCAACCTGATGATGATGATGATGATGTGGTTAGAAACGATGACGCTAGACCATTGGGTGATGATGATGTGGACCCAAACATCGACGATGCACGGAATGATGGTGAGACCATTGTCAATGAAAATGACATACTTATGCTAGAAAAGTTAAACGAAGACGCTGACGACGAGGAAGAGCCTCCACCTCCGTCAGACAATGAAGATGATATGATTGATAGTGATGATGAGACGGACCAAGAAAGAGGTTACAACAGTGATGATTCATATGGGTTCTAGCAGATGTACGTTATGCATTTTTATTAATGTGTTTATTATCATGCCTTTTCCTTCATTTCATTAATTTACTAATTGCTTTTTCTCTTTTCAATGCAGGTTCATGGAACATGGGCAAGGGGAAGGCCGACGGCGTGGGTTTCCTACGCAAGGTCGTCGGCCTGCCTAGTCGGAGTGGTCGAGCACGCAATCCTCCCCCTCGGCTACTTGACGATGACTCCTCACAGGGAGGTCGAGGGAGAGGTGCCCCTAGAGGAGGA